CATAACACAAAACACCACTCGTATGATAAAGTGAAAATAATCAGCGGTTTTAGGCAAGTTTCTAAAATATAGAAAAAATCCCCATTTTGAACATTTAGAAAACAGAAAGATTGAGCGAAGAAATACTTACTTTTCATTTAGATCCTCATCTCTCCCTGGCTCTACTCTGATATATATAGAACTTTTATTACAATACACAACAGTTTACTAATCTAGTGGCACTGATATGTATGTTAACAATAATTAGTCAGTGTCAAAATGTCAATGGGGTGATAATTAACGAAGAAAATTAATACACACATTTGAAAGGTAGAAATGGTTAGAATTAATTAATTTTACAAGGATAACATGTAATTCAAGATGAAATGGTCAGAAAAAATAAAATAATTTGGACGATTATAATTTTTAAAGGTTTAGGAGGAGGGAGGCGAAGTAGTCCGGTTTATACAATCATGTAACGATGGCCAAGGTAAAGAGAGTGACTGCACAAATTTCTTCTGAACACACAGGTTTGGCTTCTTCAGCTCTATGTAGACGACCAACTCGTAGAGCGAAATTAAGGTAAGTAGGAATGCGATAAATAATTTTAAATGCAGTATTAACATCAACCTTATGCTCACTATCTACAAGATGTGCTAACATAGAGCTACGGATAGATCTTCTTTGTCCCTTGCTTAACCATGTATAAACCAGACTACTTCACCCCCTCCCCCTAAACCTTTAAAAATTATAACAATTATGATTGTTCAAATTATTTTATTTCTCTGAACACTTCATCTTTAAATAGGTGTTATCCTTGTAAAATTAAATTAATTTATTCTAACCATTTCTACCTTTCAAATGTGTATTGATTTTCTTCATTTATAATCACCCCATTGACATTTTGACACTGACTAATTATTGTTAACAAGCATATCAGTGTTACTTGATTGGTAAACTGCTGTATATTGTATTAAAAATGCTATATATATATCAGAGTAGAGCCAGAGAGAGATGAGGATCTAATTGAAAAGTAAATATTTCTTCGCTCAATCTTTCTGTTTTCTAAGTTTCTAAAACTCAGATTATAAATTTTTGTGTGGATCCATAACCTTGTTGTGAAATGGAACCGGAACTTTCAGTCGGCTGACCATTTAACTAAGTTATTCACAAATTACCAGATAATACTGTTTATTTTTTTTTCCTTCACGTTGCCCAGTGGAACATAGGGCTTCAAGCTAGTGGCTTGAAGTATTTTTAGCAGTGTTTATTTTACAGGACGGGGTTGCTAGCCCCATGCCCAACCTTTCCTCTTTACCAGCATCAATTCTGGCTCAGTGAGGTAAAGGAGTGCGTCTGTGGCCGGGGATCGAACGCTGGAACATCTTCATGGTCGGCGAGCGTCCTAACCTCTATACCACCGATGAACTCTTTATTTTAGTGTGTATAAATACAGAGTCCAAAGAATAAAGGAAAATATAATCTTATGCCATATATTCTTATTCCAAAAGTTTCGTATTTTCAAACATAAACCAATGCACACACACACTGAAGCCTTTCACTTGTTCATCTGAAAACGATTTAACACAGAAATTCTTTCACATAAAGGTCATAAAAAGAAAAACAAGAGTTTTGAATACAGATTGAACTAACCTAATTTAAATGCCACCATATATTGATTTTCAAAAAAAAATATATTATTGAACAGTGTAACAAAATGCATACAAAAATGAAGGCTGGTGTTTATTATAAATAATAAAAGGCAAGATTAGTAATGAATAATGTCTACTGATAAATACATTATGCCTGTATGCAATGAGTATTATTCATATTTGCGTCTGTCATCTTGGATATACATACATATATCATTTGTATGAATCATCAAAATCAACAGACACACAATATTGGAGCTTTGAAATGTATGTATACATATCTTCAGAAGCAGAAATAATTAGAGAAATGAACATTTGTTGTCAATAAACTCTTCTTCAAGAGGTCTACAAATATAAATTCATTAATTATGGGTATATAGAAACACTAATAAAGATAAATTAGAATTATATCAGAAATTGCATTGTGGTACCAATGTAACGACAGAAGACAACGGACAGGCAACAGATAGTTTGTTTAGGAAATCAACAGATATTTATAGATTTTTATGTACATTATTAGTCGTTACTATTAGTAAAGGAAAGGCGGCTTTTGATTGGTTGTTTTCTCAAGGAAAACTATTCTGCCATCTCTTTGTGGCCATTTCTATGAAGGTCAGACCACATATCTACGAATCGTATCCACCCACGCAAAGTTTGCTGTGATTGGTTGTTGAGTTACGCCTTGGTCTTCTTTTTTTCTCATGAACGCGATTTGGGACGTGAGCGTTGACGTAAATTGCTGTCTATCGATTTTCGCCAACAGACAGCTCTCACCACACTAGTACAAGATGGTCTACAACAAGGTTAACAAATTCTTCTCAAACATTGATAATTAACACCTCAAAAATCTCTGTCCAATAATTTTTCTTGTTTGTTTCCCTTTGTATCATTTTTTTTTATTCCTTTACGCTCCCAGTGGAATATAAGGGTTTCAACCTAAAGGCTTGAAGTCTCGGTAACAATGGAGTTTATTTTTACAGGATGGAGTTGCTAGCCTCATGCCCAAGCTTCTCTTTTTACCAGTCTTTGTACTGGTTCAGCGAGGCAAATGAGTGAGTCTGTGGTCGAGGATCGAACTCCGAACCACATGAGGCGTGGCTGGCGAGCCTTCTACCATTGTGCCACTGATACATCTTTGTATCATTGACAAGTGTTTATTTCAAACCTTTTACAACTTCATGACTTTTCTAATAATGTTCTTGTGGAATGGTTCTAAGGCTAAATTTCTCAGATTGTCAGATTGTTAGTTTTGCTTTCTCACACAAGTGCGACTAATATAAATTGATTCGTTCTCATGATTCTAGTATCATAGGTGGCAATAAAGTTGGAACTAAGACTAAGGTTTAATGCCTAGATTGTCTATTTCGTCTGATCTTTCCTGGTCTTCCTACATCATGTTTATTTCTAAAAAGATATTTAATCTAAGCTTCTATACTAAGGGGTCAAAACAATCTGGTCTCATCACTCCGTCTCTACTTTTACAGTTTGTTTATTCTAATGTTCCATTTATTCTCCTCTATCGCTCCTTCTAATTATTTCCTGAGGTAGTGAAGTCAAGAAGAACTTTGTTCCAGTGAGATGGGTGCTAAAAGCTATCGGTAGGGAGATTGGTGGGTCGCTAAACCAACTCATGAATACTGGTGTGGAGAGAAACCTAAACTAGTGTAAGAAATTGAAGAATATTATCTGGTGGGATCACCGGCACCCTCACAACTCTCCCCTTGCATCTGACTCGGTGGGAACAGAAGTAAATATAAAGAAATGTATGCTCCGATATATAGGCATAGAAACTTAATGATACTTTTTTTGGTACGCACTTTATGTAATGAGAAATTTGTTAGGTATGAACCTACTAATTTACTGCGTTACATTAAGAAAAAGACCCTTTTTATTCTTTCTTCTATAAACAGATTTTGTCTCTATTCTCACTTAATTTTAATTTTATATTCATATTCTTTTTGATATTGTCAATATAAGTCCCGTATTAATTATTTCCCCACTTACTGTTTAATTTAAAGGGAAGAAATTAAATACAACATTGTACTACATGCTAAGAACTGGTCTCTGTATCAGGCGTACGATTTGGAATAAAGCTGTTATTATTTTTGCCATTACCCTAGATTTACGTAATACGTGCCATATGTGTTATTGATACTAGACAGTCCTTTTCATTCCAATATATTTAATCATTTATTAATTAGTAATCTTTCAACAACGGTATTTTTGTGCTGACACCTTAATGTAACAATGGTCAGGCAACAGATCGTTTATTCAGAAAATCAACAGATATTTATAGATTTTCATGTACATTATTAGTCGTTATTATTAGCAGAGAAACGGCATCTTCTGATTGGTAGTTTTATCACTAAAAGTTATTCTATCATCTCTCCGTGGCCGTTTCTTTCAAGGTCAGACCATATATCTGAGAATCGTATCCACCCACGCAAAGTCTGCTGTGATTGGTTGTTGAGTTCCTCAGCGTTAGGCTTTAGTATTCTTTTATCTTGTAACTCTGATAGGGGACGTAAACGTCCACGTAAACTGGTGTCTACAATTTTTGCTGGCAGACAGCTCTCACCACATTACTATCTTTATTATTTCATCATCGTTCTTATTGTTATTCGTCACCCTTGAACTAATGTCTGACGCCTCTGTTTATTTCTCTGCAATATTCATATCATATCTCAAACTACTGAATACCACCTGCCTTGAAACACAACACATTATGGAATTGTTTCATCTCATTTTACCTCATTTTCTTTCTTATTCCGTATATATTTTATATGAATTCATTTGGTAATCAAAACTCACTGACTATTACTCTATGGTGTACTTGTACCACACATTCCACTTACTCTGTGGTGAGAGCTATCTGCTAGCCAAAAATTGGTAGACAACAACTGATGTCAATGTTTGCATCCCAAATCTTGGTCATGAGTAAAGGAAAGAAACAAAGACTGACTAAACAGTCAATCTTAGCGGACTTTACGTGGGTGGATACGATTCTCAGATGTATGGTCTGACCTTGAGAGAAATGGACACAGAGAGATGACAGAATAACTTTCAGTGAGAAAATAACCAATCAGAAGACGCTGTTTCTCTACTAATAATAATGTACATGAAAATCTATAAATATCTGTTAATTTTCTGAATAAACGATCTGTTTCCTGGCCATTGTCTTCTGTCGTTACAGCTCAAGTGATATCAAGTTGCCCTGACTAGAGCTGTTTTTGCCAAAAAATTGATCGATTTATACTTTTAGAGTCTGAAGAAGAATCCATTGAAACGACCGTTTGCTCTCTTTATTCTTTCTGTGAACAATTATGGAAATATACATATATATGTACCCTTTCTCTTCATTTTATTTAGATTGTGATGAAATTATAATGAGACATAAAGAAGCCTGTCTAAGGATAACATGTCTTACAGTGTGCAAAGATTTACTATGGGCTGGTACAAGTGCAGGAGTTATTGTTACTGTAGCTATCCCAAAAGTTGGTACTGGTACTACACATGAAAATGTTAAACAACCACAATTAGAAAGTAAGTACCTATATGATCTCCTTTGTAAGCGTAAATGTTAATATGAATTGGTTTTTAAAGTGTACAACCACTGAACACTGAATCATGTGTTGGTTTCTAGGGATTCGGGTGGTTAAAGATTTCGTCACGAGTTGAGACTAGTTAAAGAACCATCGAAAAACTACCAGTAAGTACTGGACAGCTGTTTCGCCCTAGTCCGGAACTCCTCGGTAATCCTCATACTCTAGGATTCAAACCCAGGATGCCCCAATCCCAAGGCGAGCTCGTAGGCCACTCAGCTACTGGAATCCGATTCGATATAGTTCGTCAATTGACAGAAGTTGGACCCGATCCCAATGAATAAATGGTCTTAGAGCTTGACTTGTAACTGAAAGGTACTGGGTTTGAGCCCTAATGAGTACGTACTCCTAAATTACACATTTATCGACTTTTACTCCATAGAATCGTGTATTTGCTTGAAAAGTATGTTCACTTGGTGTTGAACAGAGGGGATTTCATGCGGCTATGTCTAGCCACCAGATATATCGACGTGAATTGTTATCGGTTATTTCTGTTACAAACATATACAGTCATTATACATTATATAGTGGCGTCCACTATAGGAGTACTCTTATCATCAATGTTATTCTCAAGCTGCACGATCGCATTTATACACAGTACATTTTTGTAGCAACAAAATGAATGTTTCCAAAGATGTTGATAGATAACACTAACGTAATACAGGAATTATTATTCTGACTGGAACTAAAAATTGAGTGACGTAACATGACTGACAAGACTAAGTAGAGCCCAACTAAAATTTGAAGGAACATCAAGTTAAGATTGCGGTCAACAGGAGTCGAAACGTAATGGTTGGGAAGGTGGGGAATTAGGACTAACAAACATTATGTACCAAATGCTCAGATAAATTAGGTCCATTGCAGATACCCTAACTGAACAAACATCCTCTGTAAGCAGAATATAGGATTTAACAGGTCTAATGTTATAAATTTTACGGTTTCAAGAAGTATGATTCATATTCCTTCGACAAGACTTCTGTGTACTCTGTAGATGACTCTGAAGTTAGTTTGTGAGTTAACCTGGTGTGCAGAATCGATCAGTTGTTCCAGAATGGATTTGCAGAGGAATCCTCTTCTTCCTTTACAGAATGGTAAAGATGAAGGTTCCACGGTACGTTTGGATAGTAAGTGCTGAGTACAGCTGACATATTTATCTTCACAGGTGCAGCTGAATCGATAAATATATATTGAAGTCAGAAGGATCTTTGGTTTAGTATTCTAATTATTGTCAGCTGAATTTATCTCTAGTCAAGATTGAGAAAAAATAGTACCTGAAAGGACTATTTACCATCGCTGTCTATTTTAACCTTTAAAGTTTGCTGTTAGATAGAAGTTTACTGTGTTTGTGTTTCATTGATGTTCACCAGCCACACAAGAAATTCGGGTTCGAATCCCGTTCGACGCACTTTATAAACCTTGCATAGTTTACTAAACGAAATTAAACCCAGGAACGATGCAAGTTTAGATGTGTGTGAGTACCAATTCCAGCCGGCGAAATTTACCCTGCCAACTATACTGAAGCTCTGTGTTCTACACTGAATGCAAAAGGATGAAAAGAGGATGGATGTTAGTATTCTTCAGTCGGCGATTGTGCTTGACTATGTATGACACTATTAGCATTTTAAGAATGAACTTTGTGTTATAAAGTATACATTCATTGGGTAAGACTTCTGAACAAACAAATAAAAAAGTGTCAGCACATGATGAAATCCTGTAACCAATCAACCAAATCCCTACAAACCAATACTTGATTATCACTGAGATGCTCACTGGCGACGTGCCCTATTCAGGAAGGTAGTTACCTGGGGTTCTAGTGGGAAGTTGTGACCAGTAGGGTGCAGCAGGTCGGGTGTGAGGACAAATACTCTCCACCGTTGACATTGGCTAGTGGTCGTGCTATGTCGTGAATTCGCAGAGGCTGAACTTCATAGATTGGTCACTGGATCGGATCCTTATAGCCTAAAGGTCTACGAGTTAGCCTACCTTGTAACCAGAATGTCCTGGGTTCGAACCCTTCTGTTGTGGGTGCTTGCTGATGAAGAGTCTTGAACTAGGATGGAGGAAACAACTGTTCAGTACTCCCAGGTTTTCAAATGTTCCTCTAATCAATTTCAGTTCATGATATAATCCTGTAACCAATCAGCCGAATCCCTACAAACAAAACACTGCACGAAGTCATAACCCATCTTCATTCTGCTTGTATCATAGTTACTTTATATTTTCATATACTTTCAAACTGTTGAAGAGACTAGACTGATTATCTGGAGTAAGTTTGTCAGCCACAGACCCAACCCTCCCTAACATTTTTGGGTCTTAGGAAGGGTTAGCAAGCCAGTGAAGTGGTAAACTAGACAATGGTGATGAAGATAACAAACCAACTACAGCAAGTACCAATCACTGTCAATGAAAAAAAAATTTTGAAAGAAATTTGGACAGCACTACTTCAACTCTAAGCAGCACAAATGAGGATTTCAAAGTCAGGATTGGAAAAACAAGACACATCTTCATTACTCTTATGTCAAGGATGAAAGCCACTGCACTCACCATAAGGAAGAAGATCTGAATTTTCGACAATAATGTCAAATTAGTTCTTCTATATGATTCAGAGACTCAATGCACCATCAAAAATACTTCCATGAAGCTGCTTCAGATTTTAATCAACATTCGGCTTCGCTCTGTATTGAGGATCAGATAGTCTGCCAGAGAGGATCAACAACGCGGGCGGAATACTTGTGACGAACCAACAAAGAACCTATTGTTCAGCAACAAATATGTAGAAAGAAATGAAGATGGACTGAACAGACAATCAGAGACATGTGAATGGCATCACACACACCAAACAGGCAACCAAATGGGCCCTTAGCGGGAAGCAACAAATCAGGCGTGAATTTGATGGTTACATAGGGAAGGACATGTGAACAGGCAATGAAAGGTGACAGAGAACATGATGAAGTGGATATGCGCTGATGAACACTTACGTCACTTTTGTAACCCTAGGGAATACGAATAGGTTACTTTAAGTCGTTCGTTTGTCCATCACTGATGATAGAATCCAAGATGTGCATTTCGTCCTATTTAGGGTTCGTCATTTAGATGTTTCTGGTCCCCAATGTTTGAGAGTGGAATCTAGTACCTAAGACTTCAAACGCTAAAGTATTACTGTAGTAATTTATTGTAATTGAAATATTAGTATTTCGAGATGACGGAATTACACGAATCCAACCAAAACTCAGAGAGGGCAGCAATCAGGAATTTGTATTTAGCGGAATTCTAATGCAATTCATATAAGAAACATATCAACAGTAAGTATTTTAAACAATACAGAGATAGAAATTATCAATCACCACAATTACCCTGATATTATCAAGACAGCCGCTCAAGGGGCCAACATACCAAAGTGAGGCTGATCAGTTCATTTAACTTGTATCATAGAGAAACTTACATAAATGAATGAAGTAATTTTTATTATGTTTAGTCTCCTTACAATGAAATATGTACTGGGTTACGATTTTTTCAAAGACCATTAAAGGTGGTAAATCTTCAGACCCTAAAACTTGCAAATGAGGTGTATATACTTTTTAGAACAACCTATTTAAGCGAACAATATTGCTTTCAATTAGATCTCATCAGACTTAACTCTAATATACATAAGTTTACAAATAAAAATTCAAATATAAACCAATGATGGTGTTTTGTCTATGGGATAATAAGATGGTGAATATAAATTGCGCAATTAGTCACAATAGTAGTAATGATAATAATAATAATAATAATAATAATAATAATGGTCTTATCAATAATAAGGATGAAAAAGTGAGGTATTCTGTGACCACACGAATAATGAAAAGCAACATGATTAAACAAACAAATGTTTAGGTGGAAGTAGTCGATAAGGGCTAATAAAAACAAATGAACCGATTAAGTAATGTTAGATTGTAAGGGAAGTTAATGAAACACGTTTCTAATGAAGATGTGATAAGATTAAGGGATGATAAGAGAGGGGTTCAAAATATAAGCGATGAGTGGTGTAGAAGTCATTAATTGCTTATGTCTTAATAGGACAAGGAAAAGATAATGGCTGTGCGAACTTCTTTTGAATGAATGCACAGTTTAGGCTTAATAGGTTGAATGCCTATCACCCCAGCTGTGTGCACTAGACGAATACGAAGTCTGTTGGAAAGATTCGGTGGGATACGATGAATTACTTTGAAGGCTCTCTTTTCCTCCACTACATGACCACTATCAATTAAATGTGACAGAATTGAGCTACGGATTGTTTTTGTCTGTCCTTTGCCAAACCACGATGGGGGATATTCACTAACACGTTGGCTGGCTAAGCTGTCTATTGGTACACCCAACACAACTGTCACCGCAGGTGCAGTTGAACTGATAAATGCATATAGATGTGGCAAAACTATGTAGCTTATCCTTCGTTTGCGTCCCAATTATTCGTCGCCCACAGAATGGCAAACATAGGCGTGTTGCGTAAAATGTTCTTCGTATACCCCTGGAAGGTCTCTGGAATAGAATCTCACTTGATAAGTCAGCATTAAATTGTAACTTAATAAAAAGAGGTTTCTTACGTGCAGTCAGAGTTGCAGGTTTTTTCTCTTATGTTTTCATATGTTTCTTTATTAAACTACTCGGATAATCAATTTCTGTCAAGGAATCGTGAATTTATTTAAATTCTTTTTGTAAGAGGTCATCCGTACATATCCTTCTTGCTCTGCTCGCAACACATTTAACACTATTCCTTTTATATTTAATGGGCACATAACTAAGGAAGTGTGTGTATCGCCCTGTGAATGTGCTTTTTCCATACATTTCTGTAAATTTTTGTAAATATATTGAGTAAAAACAGAATTTGCAAATACTGCATTACTTCTGTTATCCCCTTCTTTTTTTTTGCAGCTTTATCTCATGGACATATAGGACAAGTACGCTTTTTAGTTACCCTAGACAATATTGTTGATGATGAAAATGTTAGTGAAAAAGAATGCCTAAAAATTCAAACTACTCCAGTGAATACAACCACTCAACCATTAGACATATCAAATCAGACAACCACTTCGAGTACAACAAGTATATTAACAACAATCACAGCGACGACGCCGACCACGATAGCAACAACAACAACAACTACCACTGCTAGCAGCAGTACAGAATCATCTACAGTCAATCCTCCACGAACAGCTACACTAAGTCAAGTTGGACAAATGTCTAGACATCATTTTGCAGCTAGTCGTAGAGCATCAGTAAATCCTTGTTCTACAATTGCTACTAAAATGAAAGTTATCAGTGGTGGTGAAGGACGTGAAGAATTTATTAAAAAAGATTTATCATCTATAGGTGGGATAAATGATATGAATAATAATAATAATGCATATATTAATATTGGTGATGATGACAGTGATAATTATGTTCTTATATGGGATGTACAATAGGCTAAATATGGCAACAACAACAAAAAAAACACATACATTACAAAATACTGCCCCTTCCCATGAAATATCTACTTCAACTTCCTCTCTCTCTTTTTTTTTTCTCTCTTTCTTCCGTATGTACAGTCATTTTTAGATGATACATTTTTGTATAGTACTACATGTTAGAAAGTCATTAACTTGATGGCGATTACTACTATCTAATCAATTATCGCGCCTACATGGACCTCTCTTAACTTAGATTCTTTTACTCTTACAAACAGACAGGAGGGTATACTTTTCTCCCCACTTATATAAGTTGCAATCAGACATTTCTTTCAAATTCAACTTATGGATGTTGTTCGGACACTTGAATGCAACACAGTGTCTGTAAAATGAACGTTGTCATCATCAGTCGTACGACTTTAATAAGAAAAACTAAATACCTGATGAACAAGTTTATCCTGCTCCTCCTCTTCCTCCTCTCTAATGATGAATATTCTTCTTTCCTAGTGTATATTTCACTATTTTTATATTCTATCCCATGAAACCAGCAAACAATCACTCATATCAGTGTAAATCTTAAGAGAAAATAGACAAAAAAAACAGAAAGCAATAACCACTGTGAATTATAAGTACTCAATGAAAATAGAATTTTTACATCAGTAGCTGGTTCTACTGAATGAAGTTATACGTATTTTTCTCCCTATCTCTCTCTATATATATATAGCTCATTTTACTGATATCTTTTAAATTTTGTTGGACATTGAATAAAACAGTTAAACACACAAATTACATATAGCGCCTAAATTGAATCATAAATCTAAAACAAAATGAAAATATGTATATTGAATCTTTTTTCTTTTTTTCGTTCATTTATTTCTGATCTTATTTGTTTGAAAGACACTTATAATATTCTCAAATAAATATTTAGAATAAATTCAATATATAATCATGTTCATGTTGTTTGTTCTTGAAAATTCTCATTCGCTTGTGTGATGGTTTAAATGGCGCAGTGGTTAGGACTCTCGCCGACCATGCACATGATCGGAGGTTCGATCCCCTGCTGACGCACATCTGAATTCTATGGTTGGCCTCCAAAATTTGGGCTACCGATATCCTTGCCGAAAATTCCATACTTGTACCAGACATACAGTGTGGAATCAAGCTGTAATAAAAAAAATAAATAAATAAATGTATACACCTAGTAGATAATGGAGTTATGCCTCAGAAGCATTGGGTAAGAACATAAGTCGTCACCAAGATAAACTCACCTCCCTTTCGCTTTCTCATCTTTGATATGATGCACCAGAGGGGGGCGGCCAAATTTCAGTCTCTTCTGGTAGTTGATCTTAAGTGACTTGGAGCCAGGTTGAGCTTTGAGCATCAGTAAGTACCAATGGAGTCCAACCACACCAATGACCTTGAAATGCTCTGTGGGCAGGTTTGTGAAACCCTGTAAATAATATTGTAATCGTGGATAAAATACGCCTAACGGGGCGTTATTTTATTTAATAAGAGATATGGCAAGTTTCAGGTCAGGTTTGAGAAAGCCTTAGTTAAAGTCAAGGTCTAAGGACAGGTGAAGGTTAGGCCGACCCAATGTCGTCAATATTATGTGTGGTTCAAGTTAGAGTGAGATTAGTTTAGGGATGTTTTCACGTTAGGGTTAGGGGCAGAGTTAAACTGTACTCATCACTAACTACCAATCAGTGAATGACCTTAAACCCACCAATCACAAAGAGGAGGCACTTTTGGTTTTGGAAAACATATATTTATGAGAAAAATGCACAAAAACTGCATAAAAATGCTTCATAGGATACCTTTCTCTGACATGTGGTAAACGCATCTCTCAGTTGAGCATACTAGTACTAACTGGAAAGTCACTCCACATTCCAAACATAAATTCATCTAAATGACATGCCTTTGAGATCCACAAATGGCCCTAATCCTGTTTTTTAACCTTTTCCAAAGGTCTTCTATAGAAGTGATGTATGTCCCTGTAATGGGATCCACAAAGTCATTAGACTGGTTGACTCTGTGATGAATATATCCAAGAAACGACAGGTAGTTATAATTTTTCAGTCATCTATGTGTACGATAGTACCTTTTCCTTTTAACGACGAAGTAATTCTCTCCATTTTCCATGATGCGGTGTCTCTAAAACGCTGATAACACCTAACTGTTAATAGCAGCTACACCTGTCGCAGGCTGTTTGGCAAGAGTAAACAATAGACACCAAAATAAAATGACCTTGATTCGGCCAACCCGATTGCTCAGCATTACAAATGGATGATAGTCATAATCCTGGTTGAGTGTCGCCTAGATTTTTTCGACTTCCCTGTGGAAAGTGGGTCGATAGGGACGACTAGAACATGCATATTTGGAGGGATCATAACTCTGGAAAAGTATTGCCGGGCTACTGATGGTTATGCATTCAGATCCCAAAACTTTATCTGCAGGAGTTTGTCAGAATTGATAAGTCGTACAAAATGTTGAATTTTTAGACATTTTCTTCTCAAAATCGAAACTCCCTCAGTAACATATTGCATATATCCAATTGGTATCTGCTGCTATAAGTATAAAACTTGGGCACTATGGTAGAGTATAATTCCATCATAGATAAGATTTTATTTTGATAAATCGCACAGTGTTTACAGTTATATGAACTGATGACGTTTCGAGCACAAACTATTGCTCATAATCATATCAAGTTACTCACACAACTTTGATCTCTCATTTATATACATGTGTGGAATGGATTAGATATTGGATTAAAAATCAATGTGAGATAATGTACATTCAGAAATAATCGTACGAGTGTTGTTGATCAATTGCAATTAGATGGGAAAATTGGACGAGTGTTTTTACAGTCATAATAAGCTGCTTGTTAGAATGTGTTTGAATTGAAATAGAATTTTAAGATTATTTATTATCTTCTTCTGGTTTGACTGATGGCATTAATACGAGTGTTATTGATCTACTATAATCAGATGGAAGATACGACGAGTGTTTTAATAGTCATAATAAGTTTTTTGTTAGGATGTTGTGATGTGTTTGAATTGAAATAGAATTTTAATATTATTTATTACCCTCTTCTGATTTGACCTGCGGTAATAATATCTTCCATATCTCTGGTATTTGCATTGAGTCATTTTTGTTGCATGTGTTGGGTGTGGACTCGATAAATAAGGATTCCGTAATCAACCTCTCTCTCCACTTAGCTATATTACTTTTTAGAATTTTAACCCTATCCCACCCTATTGTGTGGTTGTTTGTTATTGCATGAAGTGCAATAGCTGAGCTTTTTTCTAAATTACTTATCTTTTCAGGGTCAACCATTCTTACCTTAGCTAAATTCTTATGTTCTGTTAATCTGACTATCCCTGACCTACTAGTTTGACCTATGTAGTTGACCTCACAGTTATTGCAGGGTATTTTGTAAATTATATTATTTTGTTTAATTGGATCCACCGGGTCTTTTAGCCTACAGAGCTTGTCTCTGAGTGAGTTTGTAGGTTTGAATGCCACCCTAATTCCTGCTTTATTAAGAATCCTACGTAGGGCCTCAGATGTGCTTTCCTTATATGGTATAACAGTGGATGACTTATATTCTTTCTTATTTGTGTTATCATTAATAGTTTCACCATTATTTTTATTTTGCTTTTGGACTTTTGTGATCTTCCTAATGAATTTTATAGGATAGTTATTCAACACCAACGCTTCTTCTATCTGTTTTATTTCATCATTTAGGTCTTTTTTTGTGCTACTTAGTGCTACTGCTCGGTTTGTTAGACACTTTACTAAGCCTGCCTTAACAGTTAACGGATGAGACGAATTAAAGTCTAAATATCTATTAGAATGCGTTGGTTTTCTATAAACACTAGTGTGTAGTTTGCCTTCTTCTATTCGTTTTATTTTACAATCTAACATAGCTAATTCTCCTAGTTCATTTTCTGATTCAAATGTGAATTTAATTCCTTCTACTTGTGAGTTTATATGTGTCAGGAAGCTAGAGATATGTTCTGTTTTTAACACCGTGAAAGTGTCATCCACATATCTCCACCATATTTTTGGAGTGGGGTTAAACGTATTAAGAGCACTACTTTCCCAGCTGTCCATAAATATGTCTGCTACAATAGGGGATATTGGTGATCCCATTGCTACACCTTCTGTTTGTTTATATATTTTGCCTTGGAACTTAAAGATGGTAGATGTGAGACATAACTGAATCCCTAACATAATTTGTTCAATGGGCAGCTTTGTCCTATGATTCAGTTCAGGATCCGCAGTTAGTTCTTTTTTAACTGCTTCTAAGGCCATAATGACTGGTATATTAGTGTAAAGACTAGTTATATCAAAACTAACCATTTTTTCATCATTCTCTAGTTGAATGTCATTTAGCTTACTTTTCATCTCATATGAATTAGTTAGTCTAGAGTTTGAGCGATTTCTAATGGGACAAAGTATTAGAGCTAAGTGTTTTGATAATTCATAAGTGGGAGTATTTCTAAAATCTACTATTGGTCTTATGGGGTAACCTGGTTTATGTATTTTAATAGTACCATATATTCTACTAGTATTATTAGTTTTAGGCATTAAAGTAAACCATTTAGACTCACCCAGTGACGGCTTCATTCTCCGTATTAATTCCGCTGTAGATTTCTTTACCTTATTCATTATTGTATCTACAGGCTTCTTAATTTCCTCATATGGACCCGTTTCAATATGTTCACTGACTTTCTTGATATAGTCAGATTTATTCAGAACTACGGTGGCGTTTCCTTTGTCCGCTTTTGCGATGACAATATTTTTATCCTGTTTTAGACTAATTAAAGCTTCCCTTTCTGATTTTGTTAAGTTTGATCTTGCCTTCTTTTGATTTTTCAGGGTTAACGCACATTGTGCTCTAACCTCTTCTGCTGTTGTCTTGTCTATTGAACCTAGTGCTGCTTCTATGTTAGGAATAACGTCCTCTGGTTTTAATTTATTAACTGTTACGTTAAAATTTAGTCCTTTCTCAAGTACTTTTATCTCACTAGAGCTTAGTTCTCTTGATGAGAGGTTGATCACCCATTTTGTTCTGTCGATAGAGGATGAAGTGTTGACATCAATTTCATTTGTTGTGTTCTTTTCTTCCATTAGTTTGTTGAATTTTTTGATTTGTGTGGTTTTTGATTTTCTTAAGGCTGATTCTCTAGCTTTTCCGGATGTTTCAACAACGATTACATAATCTTTGTCATTGACCATACATTTGAGTTTCTGTTTGAGTTTTTCGATTTCATTTCGTATATTATTTAGTTTCACAGTAACTCGATGTAGTTCTTCTCTTAGACATAATCTACTGAGATGTTCAGCTGCTGATGATATTTTCCTTGAAGCAATTGGAGTGCGTATGCGTAAATATTTTGGAATTATATGATTTTTTAAACATCTACTATTAAAAATCCGGTGGTTTGTGAATCTTGCTTCTGTTTGACAAAGTCGTGTGAGTTTATTGATAAGCTTCCTTATAGGAAGACCATATGTATTATTGATATATTATATATATATATATATATATATATTATTGATCACTCGCCCAATTTTCCCATCTAATTGCAATTGATCAACAACACTCGTACGATTATTTCTGAATGTACATTATCTCACATTGATTTTTAATCCAATATCTAATCCATTCCACACATGTATATAAATGAGAGATCAAAGTTGTGTGAGTAACTTGATATGATTATGAGCAATAGTTTGTGCTCGAAACGTCATCAGTTCATATAACTGTAAACACTGTGAGATTTATCAAAATAAAATCTTATCTATAATGGTATCTGCTGCATCTGAAGAAATAGAGAATATATTGTTTTGACGTGCCTACAGCGACTTTTATGAGAAACTAAGGCCAGTTCT